TCATGCCCATAATCCCTGCACTTTGGGAGGCCAAGGTGGGCAGATCGCCTGAGGTCAGGAGTTTGAGACCAGCCTGGCCAATATGGTGAAACTCTGACTCTACTAAAAATACAAAAATTAGGCCGGGCATGGCGGCTCACACCTGTAATCCTAGCACTTTGGGAGGCCGAGGTAGGTGGATCACGAGGTCAGGAGATCAAGACCATCCTGGCTAACGGGGTGAAACCCTGTCTCTACTAAAAATACAAAAAACTAGCCGGGCATGGTGGCGGGCGCCTGTAGTCCCAGCTACTCGGGAGGCCAAGGCAGGAGAATGGCGTGAACCCGGGAGGTGGAGCTTGCAGTGAGTTGAGATCGCACCACTGCACTCCAGTCTGGGAGACACAGCAAGACTCTCAAAACAAAAACGAAAACAAAAACAAACCCCAAAAATTAGCTGGCCGTGGTGGTGGGCACCTGTAATCCCAGCTACTCGGGAGGCTGAGGCAGAATTGCTTGAGCCCGGGAGGCGGAGATTGTAGTGAGATAGCACCACCACACTCCAGCCTGGGTGACAGAGGAAGATGCCATTGGGCTGGTGGGGGAGGCGGGAATTAGGCAAAAAGACATCAATAGATACTTTTCAAAAAAAGGCATACATGTGGTTAACAAGCACATGAAAAATGCTCATCACTAATCATTAGAGAAACGCAAAGAAAAACCACAATGAGGCATCATCTCACACAACTCTGAATGGCTATTACCAAAAAGTGAAAAATATCACAGATGCTGGCAAGGTTGTAAAGGGAATGCTTATTTACTGCTGGTGGGAGTGTGAATTAGTTCAACCATTATAAAAAGCAATGTAGTGATGCCTCATATAAGTAAAAACAGAATTACCATTTGACCCAGCAACCTCGTAATTGGGTATATACCCAAAGAAACATAAATTATTCCATCATAAAAACACATGCACATGCATGTTCATTGCAGCACTATTCACAATAGCCAAGACATGGAATCAACCTAAATGCCTATCAATGATAGACTGGATAAAGAAAATCTGGTATGGGCAGGTATGGTGGCTCATGCCTGTAATCCAACACTTTGGGACACCAAAGCAGGTAGACTGCCAGAGCTCAGGAGTTTGAGAGCAGCCTAAGCAACATGGCAAAACCTCATGTTTGCAAAAAAATAGAAAAATAAAAAATTAGTGGGTGTGGCGACATGTAACAGTAGTCCCAGCTACTTGGAGGGCTGAGGTAGGACAGGAGAGCTCAGGAGATTGAGACTGCATTGAGCCTAGATCACACCACTCCACTTCAGCCTGGGTGAAAGAGTAAGATATTTTCTTCAAATAAGAATAAAATAAAAGATTTAATAAAAACAAATTATGGTACATAAGCATCATGGAATACTGTGTGGGCATAAAAACAAAAGAAAAACAAAAAAAACCAAAAGGCCAGGCGCCATGGCTCATGCCTGTAATCTCAGCACTTTGGGAGGCCGAGGTGGGCGGATCACGAGCTCAGGAGATCGGGACCATCCTGGCTAACATGGTGAAACCCCATCTCTACTAAAAATAGGGTAGTCCCAGTTGGTGGGCACCTGTAGTCCCAGCTACTCGGGAGGTTGAGGCAGGAGAATGGCGTGACCCCGGGAAGCGGAGACTGCAGTGAGCTGAGATCCTGCCACTGCACTCCAGGCTGGGCTACAGAGCAAGACTCAGTCTCAAAAAACAAAAAACAAAAAACAAAAAGAAACAAAATCATGTCCTTTGTAGCAACATGGATGAAGCTAGAGACCATTATTCTTAGAAAACTAATGCAGAGACAGTAAAGCCAGCACTTTGGGAGGCCGAGGCGGGTGGATCACCTGAGATCAGGAGTTCGAGACCAACCTGGCCAACATGGTGAAACCCCCTCTCTACAAAAATACAAAAATTAGCTAGGTGTGGTGGCAGGCACCTGTAATTCCAGCTACTTGGGAGGCTGAGGCAGGAGAATCACTTTAACCAGGAAGGTGGAGGTTGCAGTGAGCCAGGAGTTGGTCACTACACTCCAGTGTGGGTGACACAGCAAGACTCCATCTCAAAAAATAATAATAAATATATGTTACCATTTATAAGAGCTAAACAATAAGAACACATAGACACAAAGAGAACAGACACTGAGGGGTAGTTCACAGTGGATGATGGCAGGACAAAAAATGTTAAAAAAAAAAACACCTATTTGGTACAATGTTTAGTATCTCAGTGACAATACAATCTGCACACCAAACCCCTATGACACAATTTTACCTATATAACAAACCTACATGTGTCCTCAGGAACAAAAAATAAAAGTTAAAAGGAAAAAAATCCATGAGTTTGGGAGAGTGCAATGTAGGCGACAGGACTGGTTTGTGCTACAGATAGTGGCCCAGGTGTGACTCTACTCTAAGTTATTTCTGTATTCATGCAGGCAGATAAGATTATGAACAGGTGGTCCAGAACCCTAGGTGGGTGGAGAAAACAGGTTGCTGCTGCAGATTCAGTGTCTGGGAAGGGAATATGGGAAGACCTGTAGACACTTGTGGGTTTTTGGCAAGAAACATTAGGATCAAAAATGCTGTGGTGAAATTCCTGAGGGTGGTGTCTAGCCCTGGGAGTGGTGTAGACACCTCAGTGTCTAGTGGGTGTGTTTGTGAGTGAGTAGAAATCCTGTGCTGGCAGCTGTGAAAAAAGGGAATCTGCTATCATAGCTTCTTTAAGTTTTCAGTCCTCTCTCAACCTGGGAGGAGACCTAGAATCACAAAACAATAGGCACTGTGACAGAAAAGCAGAGCCTCCCAGAGTTTCATTCCAGGCCAGGCCTCTGTGGTATCTTTCTTCTGGCACCAAATCTGTAGAGTTTGCTGAACACCAAGATTCTCCAACATCAACTCATTGTCTAAAATTTGCATTCTGACACCACCCATTCAGCACAGACCCTGATTCAGGACTCAGTCGCACAGTATTCTCCTTACTGCAGATGTCAGTAACAAACCCAGTGAACCCATCTACGCTCCTGAGATACTGTTTAAAAATTGGGGACTCCTGGCCGGGCGCAGTGACTCAAGCCTGTAACCCCAGCACTTTGGGAGGCCGAGACGGGTGGATCACGAGGTCAGGAGATCGAGACCATCCTGGCTAACACGGTGAAACCCCGTCTCTACTAAAAAGACAAAAAACTAGCCGGGCGAGGTGGCGGGCGCCTGTAGTCCCAGCTACTTGGGAGGCTGAGGCAGGAGAATGGCGTGAACCCAGGAGGCGGAGCTTGCAGTGAGCTGAGATCCGGTCACTGCACTCCAGCCTGGGCGACAGAGGGAGACTCCGTCTCAAAAAAAAAAAAAACTGGGGACTCCTGCGCCACTAGTGGTGGCTCTCACCTGTAATCCCAGCACTTTGGGAGGCCAAAGCGGGAGGATCACCTGAGGTCTGGAGTTCCAGACCAGCCTAGCCCACGTGAAACCTCCTCTCCACTAAAAATACAATAATTAGCCAGGCATGGTGGCAGGTGCCTGTAATCCCAGCTATTTCAGAGGCTGAGACAGGAGAATCTCTTGAACCTGTGAGGCAGAGGTTGCAATGAGCAGAAATCTCGCCCCTGTACTCCACCCTGGGTGACAGTGAAACTCCTTCTCACAAAAAGAAAAAAAAAAATCAGAAAATTATCCTCCTGTGGAGTGTGAAAATAATCAAATGGCAGGCAACTAGACTGAGGTGGCTATGGTCCCTGGATTTCTACTTTAAAGAAATTTAACTCAAATGTGTGGTTTTTGGTTTTTTTGAGATGGAGTTTCACTCTTGCCCAGGCTGGAGTGCAATGGCGCAATCTTGGCCCATGGTAACCTATGCCTCCTGGGTTCAAGCGATTCTTCTGCCTCAGCCTCCCAAGTAGCTGGGATTACAGGCATGCACCACCACGCCCGGCTTTGTATTTTTAGTAGAAACGGGGTTTCTCCATGTTGGTAAGGCTGGTCTTGAACTCCCGACCTCAGGTGGTCCGCCCACCTGGGCCTCCCAAAGTGTTGGCATTACAGGCGTGAGCCACAGGGCCCGGCCTCAAATGCATGTTTTTATAAATTACTAAACTGGGGGAAACAAAATTGATGCTTAGCTAACTATAATTAACCTATGATTACGTAACAAGGAAATGTCCGCCTTGATCGTACAAATTAAGAAACTATGCAACTGTACTTAGCCAATTATTGAGTTTAGTTTTCCTTATCGCACCTTATAAAAGTCTTTTCCTCAAGTCCTTGCTATGTACGACAAACGACAAACCATAGCTGGGTACTCTACATTTTTTTTTTTTTTTTTGAGACGGAGTCTCGCTCTGTCGCCAGGCTGTAGTGCAGTGGCGCCATCTCGGCTCACTGCAACCTCTGACTTCCTGGTTCAAGCGATTCTCCAGTCTCAGCCTCCCTAGTAGCTGGGATTACAGGCACGTGACACCACGCCCGACTAATTTTTTAATTTTTAGTAGATACAGGGTTTCACCATACTGGCCTGGGATTACAGGCGTGAGTCCCCGCACCCGGCCTACAATTTTTGAATCACTCTTTAAATTACTTAATATTTTTGCAGTGACTTCTGTTCATTTTTAATAAAAGAAAAGAGGGACTCAGAACCCCACAGACCAGAGCTCTTCCCATTCATGAACCCCGCACCCCAAGTCAGGATTCTCCTCAGACTACCCTCCCGTGGTTCCTGAACGATTTGGGAGAGACGCCGCGCTGCGGGTGCAGAGCTGCCAAGAGAGGGCTCCAGACCAGGCCACAGTCACTGCGCAGGGAAGAGAGAGGACGCCCGGGGTCCTGGCTGTCAGCGCAGCCGCCATCTTGTGGCTGAAGGGGACTGAGGGCGAGCTGGCCTAGGAAAACTCCGGCGCAGATTCTGGAGCTGACTGCGGGGAGGCCTGAGTCCCGCCACTGCCACTTCCCACCGGTTCCAACCAGCCCCTTCCCCTCTCCCCGGATGTCCGACCCAGCATTCTCACCATTTCTAGGCTTCCAGGGAGGACCTGGCGTCTTAGCTGGGGATCTCCCAAAACCTGCAGGTCACAGGGCCACAGAGGCTGGGCCTCTAGGAGCAAAGGACATAGATTAGGGAAGACAAGACCTGCAGCTCCGTCTGCAGCGAGAGACAAAGTACCCGCCAAACCCGAAAGCCGCCCTGTCCGCTGCAGCTGCGTGTCTGATTGGACGGTTTCCGCCCAGCGTCCCTGATTGGATAATGTTGAAGGCCCCGCCCTTTCAGGCCTTGAGTGACAGGAGATGTGATCACATACTGGCCTGAATGAAGAGTAACAGCTTCTAAGCTGCAGCCTTTTCAGGCAGGACTTCCTGCCTGAGGTGAGTCAGGCCGAACTCGGAGGTATTTGCATTTAACCTTGTGTGTAAGGTCATATGCGTTTATACATAATACATTATATGGGCGGGAGCGGTGGCTCACGCCTGTAGTCCCAGCTACCCGGGAGGCTGAAGCAGGAGAATCCCTTGAACCTGGGAGGCGGAGGTTGCAGTGAGCTGAGATCGCTTTGAATTCCAGCCAGGGCAACAAGAGCGAAACTAAACTCTGTCCAAAAAAAAAAGGAGGCAATCTTCTGAAATAGAATGTGAGCCAAAGGTGAATTTTAAATTTTCTAGTAGCCAAACTTTAAAAAGAAAGAAGAAACAGGTCAAAGTGATTGTAACAATTTCAGTAACCCAATATATCCAAAATATTACTATATGAGCAATGTGAATTATTAATGTAGCATGTATATATTTGGAACTATATGTTTGGAAGTAAATCTGGGTTTTTTGTTTGTTTGTTTTGAGACGGAGTTTCGCTCTTGCTGCCCAGGCTAGGGTGCAGTGGCACGATCTCAGTTCACCGCAACCTCTGCTTCCCGGGTTCAAGCGATTCTCCTGCCTCAGCCTCCTGAGTAACTGGGTTTACAGGCATATGCCACCCTGCCCTGCTAATTTTTGTATTTTTAGTAGAGACGGGGTTTGTCCATGTTGGTTAGGCTGGTTTGGAACTCCCCACCTCAGGTGATCCATCCGCTTCGGCCTTCCAAAGTGCTGAGATTACAGGTGTGAGCCACCGCCCACGGGCTACTAAGCCTGTTTTTTGCCTTTCCAGCACATCACACTGTAGACCCAGTCACATTCCAGGCACTCAGGAGCCACACATGAAGTGCACCTCTGATGTTACGCAGGTGAAGGGCCTGAACAAATTTATTCTGCCAGTGTGAAGGAAGGGCCTCTTCCTAACAACATCTCTCTTCAGTTTCGAGGATGGAAAAGATAGTGGCCGTAGAAAGAGCAGAGGGCAGCAGGAATAAAATAACCACAGGTAGATAACTGCTGGCCACCTTTGGCCCACCTTCCTTCCGGAGATCAGAAAGGGAACAAAGGATGATAGGACCAGAGGAGAAGAAAACTCTAAGTCTTCATACCTGTACATACTCTTGACTTGCAATGTTTAAATATAGAGAAAATAGATTAAAGGCAAACACATTTTACTATTTGGTCTAGAACCTAATAATCAGGCCTCCTGGATTCAAGTGATTCTCGTGCCTCAGCCTCCAGAATAGCTGGGATTACAGGCGTGTACCACCATGCTCAGCTGAATGTGTTTGTATTTTTAGTAAAGATGGAGTTTTGCCATGTAAGCCAGGCTGGTCTTAAACTCCTGGCCTCAAGTGATCCGCCCACCTTAGCCTCCCAAAGTGCTGGAATTACAGGCATAAGCCACTGTGCCTGGCTATGATATATTTTTACATTTATGGCTTAGGTGATGTGTCCTTCTTCTCTGCCAGGCCCCTGCCAAAATGCGGGATGCTGACATATCCCTGGACCTAGCACCTAGGTAATGTGATTCTTGTATTGTGCATAGTCCCATGTATTTTGAGTACTGTGACTTATGACTAGACCAAACACCTAGAAGATGGGAGGCACCTGTCTGTGCCCTGTAAACAGGGTGTTAGCCCTACCATTCTCAAGAGCCTCATGACATATCTCTGTATTCATCACCTAGGAGATGTGACTCTCCTCTGCTGCCTGCATCCTGCCCACTGGAAAGATTGTGACATAACATTTGGCCCAGCAACAGGGTGATGTGTTTTCCAGGGTCCTGTTCACAGGGAGTGAGTGTTGTGACATATCACTGGGCACATCACCCATGTGCTATGACTCTGCTCCCCGTGCCCGCCTTTCAGAACAGGAATGTAACATATCTCTGGCCAAGCACCCAGGTGACGTGATTCTTCTTCCTAGTTTCTGCCATGAGAAAAGATTGTGACATATCTCTGGCCTGGCACCGAAATGATGTGACTCTCTTGCTCACACACTCTATGCACAGGTGGGATTGTAAAGTACATTTTTGTTCAGCTCATAGGTGAGGTGATAACTCTCATATCTCAAATCAACAAATAGGGGACATACTGCCTTTCAAAACTACAGTTAGGGAAATACATAAGATTCTGGGTCTCCTCCTTGTATGAAGGTCATAGTGGATTACCACTCTCTTATATATCATATAAACCCTTCAGGTGGTACAGAGTGTCATGGCAGGGCCCAGCACACAGGTGACATTGCATTTCTTGTATGCACACTGCATCACCTATTAGGATTGTCACCTGGCACATGGACAGAGCCTACTGGTAAGGTCTTGAATCTCACACGTGGATGCAGTCTACAGTTGAAATTGTAATGGTCATAGTTGAACATCTGGCCACACTTGAGATGGTGACTCATTTATAACCTAGCTCCACAGCAGGTGAGAACTCTTTTATCTGGAACCAGCCAATTATAGAGATGTTGACTCTCATACCTGGGCTTAGAACCACAGGTACAATCATGGGTCCATATCATCATGAAGGTCACAGAGCGGTTTGCAACTCTCATTAATAGTGTAGAAAGCTCTTGACTGGTACTGAGAGAGTCTTAGCAGAGCCCAGCACACAGGTAAGATTGTGAGGCTCACATGCACACCCAGCCAACAGCAAAAATTGTCACCTTTCCATATGAACACAGCCCACTGTTGAGGTCCCAAGTTTTCCTCATGAAAACAGTCAAAAGTTGGAAAATTTACTCATGTGTGGATTTGGTTCAAAGGTGAGTTGGTGACGCTCAGACCTCTATTCAACACACATGTGAGTCTGTGGCTCCAGTAGGCATTCAGTCTGCACGAGAAATTGAGGCTCTCACAAACAAATCAGGTAGCACCCTTGAGATTGTGACTCTTGTACTTAGACCCAACATACAGGAGGTGTTGACTCTCAGATTTAGAACTGGGACATGTGTGAAATTGTGAATCTAATTTCTAAACCATCCTGCAGGTGTGATTGTGACATACGCCTCTGCTCAGCACATGAATAATTTGACTCTCCTGCCTGGGCCCAGTCCGTAGTTACAATTGTGACATATTGCTGAACCCAGCACATAGGAGATGTGACTCCATACTCCTGCCTCGGTGCTGCTTACAGAGGCCATTGTGACATATCACTGGGCCTTGCATCCAAGTGATGTAAGTCTCTCCTTTTCTGGTACTGCCCACAGGGGACACCGTGATATATTCCTGGGCCACAAACCTAGCTTATGTCATTCTCCTGTTTGTTCTCTGCCCACATGGTCCACTGTGACATACTGCTGAGTTTAACACCCATGTGATGTTAATTAACTCTTCAGCCTCAGCCCTGCCTACTTGGAACATAGTGATGTATCACTGCACCCATCACCCAGGTGATGTGACTCTCTTTTCCTTTGTGCTTTCTGCTCAAAGGGGAAGATTGTTACCTGTTGCTGGGTCCAGCACCTAGCTGATGTGACTCTTCTCATCTTTCTAAGTTCTGCCTGAAGGGGAGATGTTGAAATTTTACTTTGCCCAACACCGAGGTGACACTAACCTGTTGGCTTTGTCCTACTTTCAGAAGACATTGTGACATATTGCTGGGCCAGCACCAAGGTGATGTGAGTCTCCTGCCGGGACCCTGTTCTCAGAGGGCATTGGTACATATTTCTGACTTCATCAACTATTTCATGTGACTCTCCTCTCTTACCTGGGCTTTGACTGTAGAAAAAATTGTGACATATCTTTGGGACCAAAACCTGGGTTATGTGACTCTCTTCTTAGCACATGGTCAAGCCCACAGAACGAAGATACCTTACGGTTGTATCTAGCACACAGGTGAGGTGATTATTCTGTGTGGTCCCTGCCTACAGGGGTCATTTTGACATATTTCTAAGCCCATCACCTAGATTATGTGACTCTTTTTTTCTTCCAGTAAACTGTACACAGAGAATATTGTGACATATCGCTTGGTCCAGAACTTTCAGGATGATTGTGACATATCGCTGGCACCACCACTTAGGTTACGTGACACTTTTCTTCTCTCTTAGCCCTACCCACAGAGGACATTGTGACATCTCTTCACCTAGGTAATGTTACTTTTTTGCCTGAATCATGCCCTGTGACATATTGCTGGACCCAGAAACTAAGGGATGTGATGTGGGGGAAAGAAAGAGAGATCCGACTATTACTGTGTCTATGTAGAAAGAAGAAGATATAAAAAACTCCATTTTGTTCTGTACTAAGATAAATTCTTCTGCCTTGAATTGCTGTTAATTTGTAACCCTAGCCCCAACCCTGTGCTTGCAGAAATGTGCTGTGTTGACTCAAGTTTTAATGGATATAGGGGTGTGCAGGATGTGCTTTTTTAAAAATGTGTTTGAAGGCAGTAAACTTGGTAAAAGTCATCGCCATTCTCCAGTCTCAAGTACCCAGGGACACAATATACTGCGGAAGGTCACAGGGACCTCTGCCCAAGATAGCCTGGGTATTGTCCAAGGTTTCTCCCCACTGAGACAGCCTGAGATACCACCTCGTGGGAAGGGAAAGACCTGACTGTCCCCTAGTCCGATACCCGTACAGGGTCTGTGTTGAGGAGGATTAGTAAAAGAGGAAGGCCTCTTTGCAGTTGAGATAAGAAGAAGGCATCTCTCTCCTGCTTATCCTTGGGAATGGACTGTCTCGGTGTAAAACCCGATCGTGTGTTCTTTTTACTGAGATAGGAGAAAACTGCCTTATGGCTGGAGGTGAGACATGCTGGCAG